CATGAAGTACGCACTTAAATTAGTCTTATATTCTAGATAGGGGTGTCTATATCGTGAATTGGTAATAGGGGGTGTAATTAATTGGGCTTAGCAAATTGGTGTGAATCCTCTAGAGGGAAGGGGTGTATTGGATAATAGAAGGGTGCATGTTTTTGGGCCTAACTAACTCTTATGTCTTTGAGGCCCAAGCCAATAGAATATTTTTGGATTTATTTCTAATTTTTCTTAAAGTTGACCGAGTCAATTATCAGTGTGTATAATTCTGATTATTTTATTAGTGACTATTTATTAATACTAATTATTATCATTATTATTATTATTATTAATTATTAGTCATTGTTATGGTTAATATTATAATTCTGATTTTACTAATATTACTATTACGTGTTATTTTATTATTATTATTATTTCAAATTTTGTTGACCAAGTCAATATTAGGGTAAAACCCTAATTCCCAAAAGTTGCACCCAAATTGTCATCTTCGTCCCCAAGGTACCCATGCCCAGAATTTAAACAAATTTTAGATCAAATCCGCAGCCAAATCAAATTGAATATGGAATTTTATTTGATTTTGTTTCGAATTTATACAATAACAAGTCCAAGTACATTACAAAGTTTGTGAACCCTAATCTAATTTACAACAAAATCAAATCTAATCCTAAACTGATTCTGATTGAATCAATCATACAAATCATACGAAAGTAACAGAAATCACTAACTAATTCCCTAATCTAACCTATAAGTCCTAAAACTATAAATTTAAACTTAAGATATTGAAATCAAGATAGACAGAAAACCATTGGAGATTCTTGTTGTTGATGCACAATCCTTACCCCTCCACTGGAGCTCTGCATCAGTAAAGACTTGAGTTTCACGACTGAATTTTCAAGTTCTTTGAGCTAAACTTCTAACCTTTAAAAGTACTTGCGAAGAGAAAAGAAGGAGATTAGAAAAGAATATTAGAGAACCAGAAGAGGAAATTATATAAAAAGATTCACTGCATGGACGGTAAGCCTAATCACTTAGCTTAGGGTTTATATTTGGTTGGTGTTATTGGTGTTATTCTGCTTTGATTTCTGTTGAGATTCGGGTTTCTGGGTTTTGATTTTGATTTAAGGTCAAGTTCAGGGTACAACATGTTAGGGTCTTATGATTTGGATTAGGGTTAGGGAAGAACAAATTAGGTTTGGATGATTCAGTTAAGTTTTGGAAGTAGGTTTAGGGTTTGGATGAGGTTGATTAGGGTTAGGGTTGTCCTTCATAGGGTTTTTGCGAGCCCAAATGAAGGTATGAAGATTTTCTGGGTTTAGGTTGTGTTTCCGGGATTTTGGGTTGAAGATGGGATGAATGTGTGAAGATCTGTGGTGGTTATTAATGAAGGTGGTGGTGCCCTGGAGCAGTCACCGACGGAAGCGATTTCCAGCCGGTGGCGTCCAGGGCGGAGCGATTTCTGATCGCCGGATTTCTAGAGAGAAGGCAGAGCCTCTCTCTCTAGAAAATATACAAGGTTTTCGTTTGTTTAGTGTAGAGAGAGAAAATGAGCTCTGAGCTCATGATTTTATTTAAATAATACTCTCCTCGTCTCCAGATGCATGATAGGTGGCTCCTTGAGAGCCTCTGGATGGTGTTATGGATATGTAACTAGAGCTTTAATGATCATCTTCATTATCTTGTGCCACTTAGCAAGCTTTGTGCAACATATGAAATTAAGTACATTGTGAGTCAATGATTTAATTGTAATCGTTATCAGCATGATTGAAGAATCATATTGATAACAATTGTTCTTATTATTGTTATAATGGTTGATAGCTTTTTGTTTGTGTTCCAATAATGACAGCTTTCATTTTTAACATTGAACACCAACAACTTACTTTAAACATACGATTCTTTTCTTATATAGCCAAGAAAAATAGAGTCGTTGGCTGTTTGAGAAAGAGTCGTTACCAATAGTACTGCTACATCTTTTTCTCTTCAACAATTCAAGTTAGTGGAGAGGTATTTGAATAAGGCTTTTTCATACTGTGTACTATTGTACCATGTTACCATTATATTCATTCCTTTTTCACTTCAGAGGCTTCTGCGAGCATAAGTTTAGAAGTGGGAACATAACATAAGGTCTTCAGAACTTCAAGTCTTCAGAGTCTTCAGCACTTGGTTGTAAGAACCCGTTGTATAGAACCTTAGATCACAAGAGCTTCAAGTCTTTGGAATCTCCATACCTTACGTCTTTAGAATCTTTAGCACTTAGTTGTTTAAGAATCCTTTTAAGAACCTTGTTATTAGAAACACAAAGTCTTCATCATCTGGACTTCAGTAGAAATATTGTCTTTAGGTCTTTTAACTTTGTCTTCTTTGAAACAAGTTGTCTTTTAGAAACTAAGTTTTTAGCATCTAGACTTCAGTATAAACTTTGTCTTTAAATCTTTTAACTTTGTTTCTTTGGAACATATTGTCTTTAGAAACTTGAGTCTTTAGCATCTGGACTTTAGTAGATACTTGAGTCTTTAGATATTTTGACTGATTCCTTATAACACGTTGTATTTAGAAGCTTGAGTCTTCGGCATCTTGACGTAAGTAGAAACTTCTGTCTTCAGATCTTCTGACTGGTTTCTTTAGACAAACATCAGAGCCTATACTTCAATGCCTTCTGGAGTGCCTTGCTACTATTTAGTGGAACTTGTGTAGCACAGAAGCGAAACTAATTCTCTTCTAATGTCTTGGCTACCCCATCCATCAGAAGTAGAACACTTGCTACTGTTCATCAGAATTATGTAGCACAGAAGCGAAACTAATTCTCTTATAATGTCTTGGCCACGCCATCCATCAGAAGTAGAACCTGTTTGTTAAGTACTTACCAATAACAAACATTAGAGTATCAAAATTGTTCATACAAACATACTCATTTGTTATCATACAAACATACATATTTTTTCTTTTTACACCACTTTATTTATTTTCAACCTCAAACAACCATCTTATAAACAAGCAACATTCCTCTCCCCAACTTAAACACAACCCCACATAGTGACAAATTGCTCCCACTTTCTAAGGCAAGGAAAAATTCAACCCCAATACATGGTTGAGAGTTAAGTACCAATAAACAACATTAGAGACCATGATGAATTCTAACTAAAAGGCTCAAAGGAGTTCACAAATGATCGCTCACTCAAAAGGTGAATTACTTTTGCTTAGGTGGCTTTTCTCAAAATCCAACAAAATGCCTTGATCATTTCATGCTTTCATACAAATCAACATAAATGCAAGATTAAACATAATAAAATTGAGTTAAGATAAAATTGTTGATCTCCCGTGCATATAGTAAACAATGGAAAGCAACCTCACAAGGGGTTTAGTCCTAAAGTGATTCAAGAATGAACACAAATTGAAAAAGAATGAATGACATGAAAATTGTACAAAAGAAAAGTCTCTTAAACATGATATGTTTTAGAAAGTGATAAATGAGTACCTGGCGTGTACCAACTTCAAAAACAATCATTACCATACATCCAAAAGTTGACACGATCAAACTTAGAATATCACCTCAAAATTCTTCAAGACATCAGACCAAAATTTGAGTCTGAACAACAACAAAAGAATTAGATAAATAATTCTATTATGTATTAATCTAAAAATCATAGGTGAAAGTGGGAATAAGGAGAGCCAAGTGAAACAAAAAGAATTCACTAGCGCAACATAACAGAGCGCGCTAAGCAAGCTCCACCGCGTTACACCAGAACCAGAAAAATAAGACAGCAACAACAGTTCTAGTGCAAGCCTCCACTTATCACCAACACAATCTCAATGTACATAATTTCAACTATTTACAGCAATCACCATACTACCTAAACAAACACAATGAAAAACAATAAAACAAACAAAAATAGAAAAACCATGCTTGTTTTCCGTCGTAAGCTCGACGCCTTTGTTGAGCTAGCTAGTAACTTCGTCTCATCACCTGATGCTTTTCTTCAATACGCAACCGAAAATAAGTGTCCTAACAAGTGTAATACCCTAAATTTGTCCTACCCTTTTACTTCCTATCTGGCTTACGCACTTTTGCATTTTTCTCACATTTGGTCATCTAACACATCATGCATCATTAATCAATAAATTGGCATGAGATCATGGATTTCGAGGAATAAGGGTTGGTGTATGGCTTTAAGGCTCCCATCTTCGCACAAGCTTGTTTCGGTTGATTTCTCCATTAATAATCTGTTTGAAGCTAGGTTTTCACTTCATGGACCTTATCATCATCAAGCTACGATGCTATTCTTTTCTTCTCAATGTCGAGTTGCAAGGTTTTATGAGACGAAGCTAAAGATCAGGGTTTATACATTTTCATATTTGAGCTTGTCAGCATTCTACCTGAGGTTCATTCCATATCAAGGTATTCGCATGTCTCATCTTTCATATTCATCTGCAAAGAATCCCTCAGGGCATAGTCATTATTATCTATTGAGAAGGGGTCCAAGACGTCGTTATTCTAGTGCTCATATAATCGGGACATGGTACAAGATGTTGATTGTGATCAAGGTGTCGTTATTTCAAATGTTTATTGCTTGACACACAAGTTTGGTTTATACTGAGGAATTGAATTGAATTAGGGGTTCACTGAAGTTGTGGTTTGATTAGAATTCATTCATCAATATTTGAAGTGGATTTGGAGAAAATCAAAGTTCTTAAATATTTGCGTGGTTTTTCTTGGAATTCAAACCACAAGTATGAAAAAGCATGTATCAAATTCATCCAACCATCAAAATATTGTCCAAATAGCCTCTCTTGGATTCATTCAAGATTCATGTCTCTTTTGGGTACCTTGCAAATATTTTGGATTATGCCATTTATTTGAATCCATACAAAGGCCATTTCATTATGTGGAAATACATACAAGTCCAAATTCCATTACAATTATTCAAATACATACAAATCCAAATTCCATTACAATTATACATAACATCTATGCATTTTTACCAAAACCTATCCTAATTTTCAATCATTCTTCATGTTTTAAACTTCAAGTTTCCAAAACTTCGTGTCATGCGTCTTTGTTCCAACTTCATATCATCTTGGTGTTTTCCTTTTGCCTTTGCTTCCCAATAGCCCTGATATGAACCAAACCTGCAAAAAAAAATATATTGGATAAACTGTCATAAACATGAACCGCATACACTACACTTCCAATTGCCAAAACCAATTCCCTAACCATTCTCTAAAGGCAGCCCTGCACATAAATTACTACAACAGAAAACAACAAACTAACAGCTTCATAACTAACTTTTTCCTAACTTCTAACTATAACTAACTTTCCATTTCCCAAACCATAACTAACTTAACAAACCATAAACAGCATAACTAACAACAACCAAAACTGATATAACAAAAAACTGCATCTTAACTTCCAAAACAGAATTTCTGTTAACCACTCTCAAACCTTCTAACCACTTTTAACTGCATAACAAACTACATCCTAACTTCCTAACAACTTTTCTTAACTTCCTTCATAACTAAACTTAACTAACCTCCTAACCAACAAAACCTTCAGCATATATACATAACAGATGGACATAGTAAAGGGAGGAGAAAGGAATTCATTTTCGACGATTCACAAAAAATCACAAGATCCTCACCTTGAACCCATGATTCATTGCACAAAATTGCAAATAGAAGTTCTTCAACTGCAGAAGAATCACCACACAAAAAAATCATAAAAATTTCTCTCTCAACCTTGATTCTGCTTCATCTTTACGCACTCTCTCTCTCCCTCTGCAATCTTCATGTAGCTTCATCTTCATCTTCCAAAAATATCAGACAAACCCTCTGAAACACCTTCAATCCTTCAACCTTAATCTCTTCTGAACTTTCAATTCACTATAGTCTTCATCTGGTTCACCATCTATTAAATTACGCTCCAACACTCTTACATCTTCATCAGATAAGAGTCAAATGCACGCTTCGTTTCAATCTCTATGTTGCATCAATACACACACAGAAAATCAGAAACGATGTAGAAGAAGAAGCGTGAAGGCAAATAAACGTGCTTACCTGAGCATCTCATTACCAGCACCGTTGAAAAAGCCATCGGAGTTCCTTTGGATTTGTATGAGTTCTGTTGAATCTAGAAAGGTTTAGTATGAATCAGAAGATCAGAGGCGGCAGAGTGATCCGCAAATGAAATTGAATCAGAATGAGGAATGTAAGGCGGAGATGAGAAAAAGTGTTGGCTAGGAGGTGGTGCTGAGCGGAAGATGAAGCCGTATTGAACACGAAGAATCCACTGCGGTGTTGTATTGATGGAGTGAGATGGAGACAGCGACGTCGTTGTTGAAATGATGTTGAAACCCAGAGAAGGTTGATTCGTAAACACCGAAGCTCTGCAGAGGAAGCATCACCGAAGTTGAATCAAAGGTTGAAGCAATGGTGGCAGTGGCGTTGAGCTCAGGGTAGATCGATGAAGAGGAAGAGGCCGGTGCCGCCGCTTGCAAGAAAAGAAGAAGACATTCTTTCTAAAAACCCTATTCCCTTTCCAATTTTCATACTTTTTTCTTTTTAGTTTTAACTGTTTTATTATTTTATGTTTTTTATTTCAAATTAATAACAATAATAACTAAGTAAATAATAAATAAAATGTTAAAAATCTGTTTGGGCAAATTACTTCAGCACCCACATTTCTAGACTTCATACCCCCTAACTCCTCTAATTTTTCCTTTTTTATTATTTTAGTTTTTTTTTTAGTTTAATTTTTTTTCCTCTCAATTAACAATAAAAATAATAGAATATTTTAGAATAGATTTTCTTTTTAGAATTTCGATTAGAATTTTTTCTATTTTTATTTTTCATATTCGATAATCATTTTTATTGTCATTTTCTAGTCAAGACTTTTTGTAGCATCGACATATCTCTTGCAATGTGGAATGCTCGGGGTGAATTCTTCAATCACTTACCCAAGGGAACTTTGATAGAATTTTCTTACCGCTTGCACAATTTTGAAGAGGCAACGGACCTCCTCCGTTCGGTATCGTCGCAAATCTATTTTATTCTTCATTTCCGTACTTTATCGCAATCCATATGCATACTAACATCAGGTAGAAATTTCCCCTTTAACCTAAATCTTATGGCTACTAACGCATAACAACATTAGGTTTAGAAGTAAGCTAGTCTCCTTCTGACTTTTATTTCTCCTTTCGCATACGCATCTAAAACAAAAAAACTTCTTTTTCTTTCAAAATTCAAAATACATTAAAACTATTGATTCGAATCATGCTTTTGCTTAGTACGGGGAATGATGAGTGGGTCTCTTCTCGATCTTATTGTTCTTCATCTCAAGCTCAGGTGTGGTTCAATTCTCAAAAACTCCTTTCATGGCTAAGTAGAAAAATGGCTAATATCTCTCTCTTGAGGTCAATCAGTCATCATCTACAACGAAAATACAAAACAAATTCAAACCATTTTGTGCGCTCGAGCACCTTTCTCTAAAAAACCCTTTTCAGGTAAGGACACGATTAATTTACTTATGTGCTAACGCATAAGTCTCCAAAGGTCGAGCTGCGGCAGAAGGCGGAGTTAACTTCGTCCACAAAAAACATCTATAACAAAATATAAACTAACTCAAATCTTTTGTGCGCTCGAGCACTTTTCTTTTAAACCCTTTTCAGGTAAGGACATGATTAATTTACTTCTGTGCCAACGCATAAGCCTCCAAAGGTCGAGCTGCGGCAGAAGGCGGAATTAACTTCGTCCATAAAAAACATAAACAAACAAAAAAATGTGAGCCGAACTACGGTAGCTCTGATTCCTCAAAACGGATACGTAGGCATTGGGGTAGGGCCCAAGCGAGCACAATTTTATTTTCCCTACATTCTTTTCCCTTTCTTTTGCATGCATTCTCCCTTTAGTAGCATAGTAAACAGTAAGCATAGATTAAACACACCCATAAGATAGACAACAAGAGTGGATACCGTAGAGTACTACGGGCGTGTGGGGTGCTAATACCTTCCCCTCGCGTAACAGACTCCCTTACCCGATCTCTCGGTCACAAGACCGTGACTTCTCCCTTCTCAGGTTTTCTCGATGTTTACCTTTCCCTACATGTGGGATAAAAGACGTTCGATGGCGACTTCATTGTTTTGATGATTTTCAGCCGGTTGTTTCAACAAGCACTCAACAAATGCTACAAATAAGGAAATTTACAATAACACTTGACCAACATTGGAACACAACATATATACACAAACTTGAAAACAAAGAAAAACACATATATGCACAAGTATGCAAAACATGTAAAATTCACAAATATGGTGAACATATACAAGTATCAATATAAACAAGTGAAAATAGAAAATATATACGATATCTACAAAACTCAAAAACAAAAAAACTATCATGATGTGATTCAATAAAAACAACAATCCCCGGCAACGACGCCATTTTGCTGAAGTGGTAAATCGGCAAGCAAAAGTAAGTATTTTTATAGGTTATACCATATCATCTCCATAGGGATTAGTGCTACTGAATTTTTTTCCGAAAATTTCTCGCGTTTATGAGTTTAGGAATAAAATGGGTTTGTTTTTAAGGTGCGGGAATTAAAAGTTATCAACATAAAAAGAATTTCATTCTTCGAATAGTAAAGAACTCTCGAGTTTGTATTTCGTCTACCATGTCAAATACTTAAACTTACTATCCAGTTGCACTTAACCTAAACTACTTTTCATTATCATCATGTATCGCTCACACAGAGGTCATCTCTAACCCAGAGCGAGATATCAACCATATAGCTCTAAGTCGGCAATCTCTCTATGCAACATAAAACAACAAGGAGGCATTAAGAGTCGATGCCTAAGTGATTACTAAGTTTAAATCTATCTCTAGAATCTAAGCCCAATAGATATTCATACTAAGTCCGGATTCAACCTGTCCATCTCTGCAATAACTCAAATCCAAACACTTAGCAAGCTAAAAGGATAAACATTAATAAAGATTTGTAAAGAAAGTTTCATACAACACCCCATGAGCAATAAATATACATATAATCAAGGTAAAGTTACATACAAAATCCAACAAATAATGGTTACAAAGAGAGTAAGAGGAGAAGAAACTAAATTTAACACGGTGTCAAACATGATCCACCAAGATCCCGGCTCTGAATCATCTAATTGCAAGCCACAAATGTTGTTTTCTAAGCTCTAAATATCAAAGAATGAAGGTGATGGAGTTTGGGAACAAATACCCCAAAAACCATAACCTAGAAAATGAACTAAAATATGTTTTATAAAAATATTTTCAACAGACCGCGCTTAGCGGGCTCACCGTGCTAAGTGGGATGCACTAATATTTACACATCAAAACTCCTTAATCTCGCTAAGCGGGCTAATCGTGCTTAGCGGGCTCAAAAACTATAGTTCTGCCAAATTTGTCAAAACTGCATAGCACGCTGCAAAATGCGCTTAGCGGACTCGTACTTAGCGAGCATACTGCACTAAGCGAGATTCCTGGTCAAAACTTCTCAAAACTTCACTTTTAGTCCAAGAACTTGCACTTGGAGTTGTGCCTTTGACACCTTATTCCTCGATGCTCCAAATATGCGACAAATACCTACAAAATAGACCAAAATTATCAAACGGTACACTATTTACATAAAAATAAAATTATTCATAAAGTAAACGTATTTACAAGCAAAGCGAGGAATTATTCAAAGAATATTAACAAAATTATTGATAAGTGCAATAAAACTTATATACAAAAATAGCAACAATTTTCACTTATCACCAATCCACGATGACAGCAACCAAAGTCTTCTTGAGAATCCCGACTCGTTGAGTCTCTCAAGGAACCTATCAACAACCGTGGATTTACAATGATGTGTATACAAAGATGCTTCTAAACAAGATGATTACATAATGTTTAAGTACAATAACACAAAAGTGTTGATAGTAAGATACGAACAAAATCTCCTTGATTATTTACAAAACTATATAAAGAATACCTCAAAAGAGTTTGTGCGGCGCTTTAGCGTAGTTTTGTTGAACTGATTCATTGATTTCAAATTCTTCCAAGTCCTCTTTTTATAGCTGAAAAAGAGATCCGTTGGATGGTAAAATAGGAAACATAAAACCATTTGTTTTGTTCCCAACAGTAATGGTGGAAATGGTAGACAACAAGTTCAAAAAGGTTTGTCCTTACGCCACTCTATTAGAGTAGATGTCACAATATACTTTTGTACTTTTATATTCATCATCACATGTAATCCCTAGTATTGATCTTTATCTTCTATATCTTTATAGGCTTCTAATTTGTATGTTGATGAAGCATGTTATAGAATAATCAGAACTTGAATCTTCAGAACCTAAGTCTTTAAATCTTTTAGAACTTATTCAGAGAACCATTGTCTTCAGAGTCTTCAGCACTTGGTTTTTATAAGAATGTCTTCAGATATTCAGAACTCGTTCAACAAAACCTTATCTTCACCATATTCATAACTTGTAACAATAAAAGTAAAGTTTTAGAAGGCTTCCAAAGCTTCCTTGCAAAGTTACAATCAGAATCTCTTGTAATAACGTTACTTAGAACTGTTGCATAATAAGCATTCCAGAAACTTGACTTAACTTGTAACACACCAAAGGTATTCTTTTAGAGTCTTGAGTTCAGAATCTGATGACACCACATGCCTTCTTACCAGAGTTGGAACTTATTTAGCAAAAGCTACACACTAGACAGAAACCATTAGAGTGCACAATTTTTCTTTAAGATACCATGTAAAGTTATCATCAAAACTCAAGGTCATATGCAGAACCAATCTTGTTCTTACTCAATGTGCACTTAAAGACATTAATATACTGTTTTAATTAAGGTGTAATATCGCTGGTTGTGTTTTTAGCTGTTGAGTTGGGTTTTCCATGTTGTGTTGTCGTGTGTTTCATGTTAACTGTCTTATGTGTCAACCTAAAACAGGCAATATACTGACACATGAGAAACAAAAGTTACATGCTTTAATAATGCAACACGTGTGCTGGCCTGAAAATTATATATGCCGATACATACTTTATTTTTTCACCACGTGCTAACTTGAAATGGACCACGTGCCGACCTATACAAGACATAAGTTACAACCTTTAAAACTACAGTACATGTGCCGGCCTGAAAGGTGGATGTGCTGGCACTTGCTGATAATTTTTATGTAGAAAATGATTTTTCATGTTTTTGGCCAAATTTAAACTAATTTTGAAAGCTTCATAAGACATCTAATGCAAGGGTGCACCAAACGACACGGTGATATAATCCAATATACGTAAATTTCGAGTTTTCCTAGTTTTGACATCATGCAAAACCTTTGATGGTGAAGTTGTACTTACATACTCCCCCTTTTTGATGATGGCAAAACTTGCAATATTGTATTTCATGTCTTTATTGAAGGCTCCCCCTGACTTTGTGCCTTCCAACTTCATCTCGCATATACTTCTCCCTCTTTGACAACATGAAAAAGAAAGATGGTAAACCGTGAGAAGTATCATGATTCAACGTTAATACAAATATATCACACAAAGTCGTTTTTTCAAAGAAGAACGTTTGTTCACATATCCCCATATATATATATATATATATATATATATATATATATATATATATATATATATATATATATATATATATATATATATATATATATATATATATATATATATATATATATATATATATATATATATATATATATATATATATATATATATATGGAATGACGCAAAATTGATAAATAACTAACACAACACATTACCAACAAGTAATATAATGCATGAATAATAATGAATGCTATGCAAAAGCAAACTTCTTGAGTTGCTTCTTTAGCGTCACAATTAGATAACATATCATAATGGAACTCTCGATGCTGCACACGAATGTGCCTAGCTTGGCGAAAAATTTATCACCACTAAATCCAAGATGAAAATGTTGTCATAACATGTGACATAATTAGAACAAGAACTACATTTGCAAGAAAACACACATACATTCAATTTATGTGCTAGAATAGAAAATAATAATAGAAAACATGCTTGTACACCAAGAACATACATTTCAAATGATATAAAGTTAATACGTAAAGTCACTATAAGCATATAATTTGAACAAACACACAATGGTTGTCAATTGAAATTTTTGGAAATGGGCAATCATGAATTTTATCACTTTGAGAATATCAAGCATTTCGAACCTAAACAACATACAAAAGAAAAGTCTTACTTTCAAGGAGAAATTTGGAACAACATTACCTTAATTTTTTAGACGGTGATGCCTTATCTAGAGTGGGAGTGAATAGATCACCAAGTCAAAATTCCAGAAGTGTTTGAAATGAACAATCTGTTAGGATAATTCTTACTATGCAAAAAGTTTGATACACGAGAAACTCCACAAACCCTAACGTTTGTTGTTGATTAAACTCATTATCTTCCTATGACCTTGAGAAATACCAAGACACAATATCTGCAAATTGATTATCTGGATCTTGCCACTCTTTTGCGTACTTTATCTCCAAGACTTTCACGCATCACCAATTTCAACTATTACAACACAAGACTTCAATTTGATTCTCCATTCTCACGCTAATTCCTTTGTGTTCTTTATCTCCAAAGGATACTTTGCATTCTTTATCTCCAAAGGCTTTCACTAGGCCGCAATCCTCTTTTGAATGTCTTGCACGAAAACCCCCAAATCAATCGATGATCTTGGAGGATAAACCCGCGGTTTTTCTGGATGAAGATCCATACAAATCTCAACCAAATATTATCATCTATACAAGAACCTAATTAGACATTATCAAACCTCGTCTAGATGGAACCCCAATAAAAGATCGTTACAGGGGTTTGTTAGTGCATATGCATAGGTTTAAGGTTGAAGGTGAAGAACAATTGCAGTAAATTTTTATGGTATCATCAAGTTGAAATGATGCATGAAAGATGTATTTATAGTTATGGAAATATTGGGGCAAAAGAGGGAAATCTGGAATTAAAAGAAAATAGAAAATTTGACCATTGAAACAGTATAAGTTGGCTTGTAGTTTGGATGAGCCGACTCATAATGTTAATTTTAACAGCATGGGTCGGCCTGAAATGACCTATGAGTCGGCTTGATCAAAATAGAACATAACTGCTTAATTAGGACAGTACATGAGCCGGCCTGAAATGGCTTATGAGCCAGCCCGACCAAGACAAAAGAAAATAGCTTATATAGGACAGTACATGAGTCGGCATGTAAATGCATTTTTAATGCAGAAAATAATTTTTTGAGACTGGGTAAGTTTTGACTATGTTTCCAATGATTCTTAAGACCTATAAATGCATAGGGTGCCACCTAAACTCATAGATACTGCCCACTATACAGAAACTTTATATACTCTTGCAGTTTTGACATCATGCAAAACAGATCTAGAGACAAGTTGTGTTGCACCCTAAACTTTGCCCTCCTAATTTTCTTTTATTTTGCTTAGGCTTAGAATTTCATCTTCATAGTTTCACTAGGACATTTGCATATCATGCATTTCATTTAATAAATTGTCTGAGGTTCAAAGTTCAGTGGTTGTGCGAGCTAGGGTTCTCATAGTGTTTTGAGGTGTATATATGTCAAATAAAGCTGATTTCATTTGATTCTTCTTTAACCATTAAAGTAGAGTTAGGGTTTTGATTCATGTTCGTTGTGCATTTATTTTTCATCAAGGGAAGATTGATTAGGATTTCGTGATCATCACCACTTCTACTGCTTTAAGTCTTATCTTCTTCAAGGTTTCCCATATGAACATTAGTCTGGTGCCGGGGTCATTGGCTTTCAAGTTGGGATGTTTTGTGGGTCGAACTGTTAAAACTTTGAATCATGACATATAATGTGAAGTTGCGGTTCCTTTGTGAGAAATGTCTATTTCCTATGAGTTATCTTGATTAAGGATTACTTTGAGATGTTTCTTGATGAACTGAGATATGAACTAAGGTCGTTGGTCATTTAATTTGAAATAAGTTGTTACATTTGCAATTTAATTCGAATTTATGAATTCAAGTTGGTTCATTCGAAGGATTAAATTTGTCTAAAGCATACAATTTTAGAGACTGGTTCATTTGAAAACAAATAATAAGGTGTGCAAGTTTTAACTCGTGAAAAGAGAACCTAAATTTGGATTTCGAATTGGAAAGAAGGAAATTGGTAATGTCATGCGATTTCTATGGTTTACAAGCTACTAATTTCTGAGAACTCAAGTTCATCTTGAATCAAGTTTACTTCAAGCATCAAAGATTCAGTCATGTTCAAGCTTGTTGTGCAAGATTCATTCATACATTATTGTTAAGTTAATTTCAATCATTCAAGTCCAATTATTCATCAAGAGAAAAGTGTTTGAACATTCACCGCTTCAAATTTCACCAAAGATTTCTATTCAAAGTCCATTCAAAATCATTTGAAGTTCATTCAAGACATCCATAAATCTCGTAACTGCATTCATTATCAAATATCATCGTTCATGGTTCATTCAAGATCACGAATCCATAAATTACAAACCAAGTTTAACTTTACAGTTTGGAAGTATTACACAAAAAGGAAGAATTACAAGACATTATGTTCTATATTTCTAAACCTAAAAATAATCCTTAAGCCTACATCCCTTCATCCAATTTTATCCATCTTCGTACATACCTTACCATGAGAAACCATACCCTGCATAATCAGGAAACAGTTGAGCATACTTCAAATCCAGTTCACATGTTAACACTAAACTTCCTTGCATCAATAAAAAATGATTAAACCAGTTCAAAAAAAATGCAATTGGTACAAGTAAACCGTGATAATTCACATACCAGATATCCAATACAAAACGGTGTCCAGCTGCCTCAAATGAAATAGTTCATTGATAAGAAAAAACAGTTTAATAAACCAGATAAGGAAGCTTTCACTTGTACATACCCACCGCCATGCATAATAAATCAAAGGAAAATTAGTTGCATCAGTTTATTCAGAAATAGAACAAAAGGAATTTAGTTTCATAGCTCAGATATCAGGCAAAATATTTAAAAGAAAATATCATAGCAGAAAATCAAAATATCAGAATTCCAGCTCAGCTAAACTTGCTAATAAAGCCTCACATTCTAATCTCTCATCTCATTCATTCATCTTTGTAACAAACTGTAAAAATCAACAGCTCAGATTGATTCAATCCTAACAAACTTCAGCAGAGTATAAAAACAATTCTCACCTTCAATCAGGATCATTCTTCACTTCTACAGAAGAATCACAAAATCACAGAAAAATCATCTCTGCTCAATCGATCCTTCATCATCTTCATCTCAAGAATTCTCTGTAACAATGACACCTTCATCTCAAGAATTCTCTGTAACAATGACACCTTCATCACACTCTTGTTCAATATTCATCTACATCAAATATGCAACATCAACGGAAATTCACATTGTATCGTCGCAACATCACAAACGCAAACGTACAACGACGAGCGCATTCAAGCAGCATAAAAGAAAACAAAGAATCAGAATGGGGAAAAGCATAATCTAGGTAGAAGCGCATACCTGAGTGGTGGTTCTCTGATTTTGTCGTCGTTCTCGTCAAGCTTGAAGAACCACCGGCATTTTCGAATCTCAGCTTTGATGCGAGTTGGTGAACAATGATGAGTAAAAGTGAAGTGACCACTTCAGCAGGTATTTTCGATCTTGGAATGCAGAAGAAGGTGAATATTTGAAGGGATGAGGCGGAGACGATTTTGACGACAGAGAAGCTGAACCGCGGCGCCGTTGTCTAAGAAGAGAAAAGTGAGACAAAAGTTTTAAGACGTAATCATATGGAAATGATCGGAAGCGGGCGGCGGTGCAGTGGGTGATTTGGATCGGAGAACAAAGTTATACTTCAGTTCACGGCGTTCGCGACGAAAGACAGAAGAAGATCGGACATCTTTGTGAAGCTGAACCGTATTTTGGTTAACCCAGCTCAAAAAGTGTTGCGTTTCGGGTTTAACTTCAATTTTAATTCCTTTTTTTTTTTATTATTTCTTTTTTATAGTAATAAAACTAGATAGATTAAACAAAAGAAGATGGATAATAACCAAGAAATGCTGATGGATATCGTTGTTATATGGGTTGGACCGAAAAGCCACCATTCCCCCAAGCCCACTCTATTTTCTTTTTATGCATAATGAAAGGCTGAACAAAAACTCCTTATGGTTAATTATGCTGGACCTGGATTTTACTTTGTCTCACCCTGAGTTCAGCTTTGCACCTTGCTGGAGCTTCACTTTCTATGCTTGTTTCAATTTAATTTGATAATTGTCCTGATTGATTTTTGATCGATGGTGAAGCTTTGGTAGAGTTTTCTCACTGCTTGTGTGGTTTTGAAGAAGCAACGAATTTTCTCCATTACGTATCGTTGTAGCTCTCTTTTTATTTCTCATTAGTTGCATCATTTTCAATTCTTTTGTCATGAGAAGTAGGAATAGAGATGCATGTCTGGGAGTCTCTACTTTAGGTGGGTGATTTTGTTTAAAGTCCTCAAAAGAGGCAATGTTTGTTTTGTTAAAAGTCCTCGACGAAGGCAACGTTTGTGTTTGTTTAAAGACCTCAAAAGGAGGCAATTTTGCTAAAGTCCTCAAAGAAGGCAATTTCCATCCCCTTTTACTTTGTGCTTGCAATCGAGTCAATAAGTGAAGCAAAGGGCTTGCAATCGATCCCCATATTTTCTAGTATGTGTCGTTCTTAGCTCGCGTTATACGTTGATGCTTTGAACCGTGCTTATTCTTGTCCATTAAGTCAAATAAAGTGGAAAAGGGTTTGTAACCAACCCCCACATTGTCATTCGTTTAGACGATGTTAGCTCACATTTCTTTAAACATTGACGCTTCGAGTTATTACTCGATATCGGTGTTTGAGAAAATCAAGTGGAAAAAGTTCCTTACTCCCACTTTGAAATCCATTGGATTCATTGTTTGTTGCTAGCTCGCACTTGATTTTTGTTTTTGGTTTTGGTTCGACTTTGTTCGATTGCACTAGTGTTCGTGCTTTTATTTAGACCTTTGTATGCTCCCTTATAATTGCTTGTTTGGTTTTTGATTTAAGTTGGACATTAGGTTGTAACCTTTGCATGTTCCCTTGGGATTTCTTGTTTTGTTTTCTATTCAAGTTGGATATTAGGTTGTAATCTATGCATGCTAACTTAGGTAGAGATTTACCTTTGTTATTCAAACCTTAGGACCACCATTGTATGACAACACTAGGATTGTTAGTCTCCATTAGACTTTTTCATTCCCTTTTTTGTATTCTTAAAACAAAAACTTCCTTCTTTAAGAAAACTTCAAAACACTTAATAATGGAAGATGGGAATCGTATGCAGTTGAGTCTTATGGGATAGAGAGAATCGGTTTAGACTGAATCTTGCTCTATTTTCCCTCCATATTTTATTAAGGTTCAAGTCGCAAACTCTTTTGCAAATAAGCAGAGAAATAATAAGTTCTCCCTCCCATGGGATCCAGTTTCTATCATCCCACCAAAACACCAACCAACTCAAACCTTTTTGCATTTGGGCCGCCTTCAGGCTTTTCTTTGAAAACCTTTTCAGGTAAGAACATGTTAATTCCTTTCTACTACTATGTGTGAGTCTCTAAAGGTCGAGACGTGGTAGAATGCAAAATTAGCATCGTTCATAAAACACATACAACAAACCGAAAGTTTTGAGGTGAACTATGAGTACCTTGATCCCCATTGCATGATAGGTGGTACGTAGGCACAAAGGTTCGCAACCGAGTCATCCACAACTAATAAAAACTTTATTTTTGTATATACTTTGCATTCATCCATTTTCCCTTAGCTTTTTAGATTTAGACTTGACACAGCCATTAGATTATATAACAAGAGTTGATCTCGTGGAGTACCACAGACGTGAGGGGTACTAATACCTTCCCCTCGCGTAATCAACTCCCTTACTCGATCTTTTGGTCGCATGACCTTGATTTCTCCCTCTTCAGGTTTTCTTAGATGTTTTCCTTTCCCTTCTGGTGGCATAAATAAATATTCGACGGCGACTTCATTGTTTGTTTGAGAGATTTATTTTCTCGAGTTGCTTCAGTTGGCGATTTCACTGGGGACAGGTTGACCAAATGCTGGTCCATCCTAAGTGAGTCAGTCCTGGATTTTGTTGTTTTGTTTTCATTGGGTGTTTATCTTTATGCTTTATAGATTATTCATTTGTATATGTTTGTCTGTACATATGTATGCATTGCATTTTTATCGCTTTCCATATACTGGTTATCCTGTTGTGCTGGATCTACTGGTTTTTCAGGATGGGTTGGGTGTTACTTTAAGGTAAAAGACCCAGTACCCAGGCCAGAGTTATAAACTCTTTGGAACACATAGGAATAGAGTGGAGACATGACGGCTACTAGACGTAGGTCCATGCTAGTGCGGTCATGTCTGACATGCTCAGATGAGATCTAAACGGAGAGTTATCGTTATCACGTAGGTGTTACGATGATAGTTTTTCCAGGAGGACTCACGACTCTGAGTTACCATTGACCTTACCTTTACCTAGTCTTCACCTGTAAGTGGGGAGGGAATGATCTTACAGGTACCGTTGGTGAATCTGTGGTTCTGTTTTAGATTTCTATTGGTGACTATTTGGTTCTTATGGTTTATGTTTTGTACCTTTGATCCTGGTATACTCAGCCTGTTCGGAGATTATACAATAATTATTCAGAGGATTGTACATATGTTATCCATGTTGCTTGACTTTTGAGCCCATGGTGTTGCATTGCATTAATCATCGTGAGAGTTTATTTCTATTATCATACATGCATCATCTTGCATCCCATTCATTTCATCCCAGAGACTCATTGCAACCTGGTTTGTTCTTCAGAATCTCAAGACTGATTTCCTGACATCATCGTCATCATTGATTAGTTACAGGCAAGTGTGATTGAGATGAGAACACATATGGAGACTCAGATGGGCTAATTTATGGAGATTATGTAGAACCTCGCCCTTGGACAAGAAGAGTTAAGGCAAGTTGTTCAGAGGCCCGCATTTGCTATTGTTGATCATGTAATCCACATGGAATTAATCTTAACCAAAGGGAATTTATTTTGAATCAGAATGTTAGAAACACCACTCAAATCTCTTTCAAGGGAGCTCCTCACCATGAGGATAATTCTGAGTCGTCATATGACACCTTCAGGTTCCCGATTGATGAGACTAAGTCTGAGAAAAAGCTTCACCTCCTGGAGAAGAGGGTGAAAGATATTGATGGTCGTAACTCCCTTGGTTTAGACACTGCTAGTTTGTGCTTGGTGCCTGGTATCAAGATTCCTGCTAAGTTCAAAGTCCCCAGTTTTGAGAACTAAAAGGGTACCACTTGCCCGATGACTCACATCAAGGCCTATTGCAACAAGATGACTCCTTATGAGAAAAATGACAAGCTTCTAATGCACTTATTTCAGGAAAGCCTCAGTGGAGTGCCGACTGAATGGTATACTCGGCTTGAAAGGAAAAACATTTGAAATTGGAAGGAAATAGTTGAAGCCTTTCTCAAGCAGTATAATTATAACAGTAACATGGCTCCTACCAGAATTCAACTCCAAAGTTTGACTCAGGAGGATAACGAATCTTTCAAGGAGTGTGCACAAAGATGGAGAGAACTAGATACCAGAGTTCAACCTCCTCTCTTGGAACAAGAGCTTGTGGGCATTTTCACAGATACTCTTCGAGGTCCCTATCTGATGGTTGGATATACTACTTCTAAATTTCCATACTTGGTTGTCGTAGGGAAACAAATTAAGCACAGTCTCAAGATTGGTAAGATTCATGGTGTTGCTACTACTTTTGAATTCCCAAAGCAGGATGATGAAGAGACAAGTGAAGTTTCTGAGGATGAGGAAGAAACTCCTGCTTATCCTCCATTTCAAATTCCTAATCAGGTGATAGAAGCTGCTCCTAATCAGCATGCTCCGCAAATATGTGTTGCAAATATCAACCAAACACCAGTTCAATTTGTTCAACCAAAGCATGTTCCTTATGTGCATCTAGTTCAGTATGTGAAGCAGTCGTAAAACTATCGACAAAACCGTTGGCAGCAAGGTAGGCAGAATCTGAGAAGGCCAAGAAGAATGCATGATCCAATCCTTATGCCACATAGTGATTGGATCTCTCACTTACTTCAACATTCTTTGGTGGAGTTAAAGCAGCTTGAGCCTCCTCTTTCTCCTTATCTCATGGGATATGATCCCAATGCCTACTCTGAGTTCTATTCTGGGCACCTGGCCATACAATTGAAGGTTGCAATGTTTTCAAAGGAAAAGTTCAGAAACTCATTGATTCCAAAGCAATCATGTTCACCCTAGAAGGCATGCGCATTAATTGAATTCTCCTTTGACTCAGTGAGTGTCAAGAATGCAAAGTGAATCTTCTGAAGCAATAATTCCATACGGAGTCTAGTCTCCTCAATATTGCAATTTCTAGCTTCATTTGCATTTCTCATTTACGATCTTTCTTATTTTGTTAGATATTGTTTGTATGCAAAACTTGTTCATTTTTTAATAATATGTTTGTCTTGAATTAATTCATTTGTTATCACTCTTTATTGTCTTTCTATGCTTTTGATACTCAACTCTGGTTAACAAAGAAAATAACTCTGGAGGGAGGATGATGAGAGATATACCTAGAATCTCAAACGGTATGCTTTTGAGTAAACCTTGCTAACGATGTACATGCATTGTTTCAAATCCCCAAACACCAAAGATATAAGGGAGATAGACCCTCGTCAACCCCTTTGAGCCTTGTAGTAGAAGTTTCTTTTCTATTAAAAAAAACCCTCACATTTAACCCGGGGTCAGGTAGTGTTCAGTTAATTTGACCGAGCATTCAAAACTCATCAAGAGTACACATATAAAGAGCATCCACAATGGTTATCCT